ACATTTAAAGGGAAGACTAGGCTACAAAATAGTATGAAGAATGTTATTTAATACATGTATATTTTTTAAAAGGCTGAAAGCACGCATGTTCAAATGGTAAGAGTGCCTATCTCTGGGGGACTGGTATTTGATCATTCACTTTCTTTCCTCATCTTAAAAATAGTTATAGGAGGGGGCAGCTGGTTAGCTCAGTTGGTTAGAGTGTAGGGCTCACAACACCAAGGTTGCCGGTTCGATCCCCATATGGGCCACTGAGTTGCGGCCTCCACAACCAGATTGCAATGACTACTTGACTTGGAGCTGAGGGATCCTAGAAAAACACACTGTTCCCCCTCAAAAAAAAAAAAGTTATAGGAGTAATACATGTTCAGTTGAATCAGAAAATTCAAATAAGCAGAGAACAAGTTAGAATCAAGATTAATCTGAGACAGCATGCCTGCTAACGCTTGCTTTGTGTTTTTTTGGGGCGCTTCTCTGCATGTACATATAAACATTATAATCCTGTGTATGAATTTTCCTGCCAAAATAGGATTTATGGCATACATGCGGCTTAACTTGCTCTTTGCACACGCTCACTCTACTTTATAAACACCTTTCTGTCGCCTACAAATGTTTACTGCTTGCATGTGAGTTAGGGGGATCTTAATGCTATGTATCGTGTTATTTGGGTGTTTCAGATTTTCTGTGATAATGATGATTTTTAATACTGTGAGCTCATTAAGGACGAAGCACTAAGTTCTTTCCATGTATTAACTCATTTAACCTTCACAGCCCTCCAAGGTGAGTGCTCTCATCACAGCCATTTACAGCGGGGCACTCAGAGAATCTAGGGGACCCAGGCTGTCCACAGTCGGCACCCTAAACAACCGAGTCCATGGCTCTGGCCATGAGCATGACCTCATGTTGCTAAAAGGTAATATTACATTTTCCTCACCACACGGCTCAGGTGCTGGCGAAGCCACAGCCGCAGCTCCTTGGAAAACTCGGCTTGCAGGCAACACCATATTTTCAGGGAGCGTGGTTTGGTAAAGCCAAGGTGACCAGAGTGGAAGGAAGGAAAGTGGGCAGGTCTCTGTGCATTTCGAAAGCCCACACAACCAGGGCACAGGTCCTGGGCCACTATACACTCGAAGTCCCCTACCCGCCTGCCGGGTCAAAGTCACCGGGACAGATAGCACGTGCAGGAGCAGCCACTCAGGTGCCTGAGCCATTCAGCATTTCACAAGAGAGGGCCCTGCACACAAATTAATCACTGAATTCATTGGCCAGGAGCAGTGCACTGCTAAGTTCCCATCTTCCCCGCTAGTGTGTGTGTGTATGTGTTTTGGTGTGTGTGTGTGTGTGTGGGGGGTATGCGATGTGTGTGTGGAGTGTGGGTGTCAGTAGTGTACCCTTGCAGTTGCAGTAAATGAGTCTTTTTCCTCCAGCTTTGAAAATAAACAGATCTTGAAAGTGAGTGTAGCTAGCGATTGGTCAATACCACATGCAAATAAATAAGTGCTAATTGCCTGCAGTGTCTTTGGGTGTCAGGTGCGGTTATCGGACCACATTTATGGGCCAATTAGGCGCCTTACCGGACTTGAGCGATGATAAATTGTGGCTTAGCAGCTTCTCAGGACACGCTGGGGCCGGTGGAAGTCCCGCTGCTGGTGAGCACTGGGAGGCCTTTGTTCCCACACAACCGCTGGTGACCTCGAGTGCCCCCACTTACCTGCAGGTGGGGGCAGGGCAGGGTGCACCAGGGGACCCTGTGGCTGGGGACTCCCGTGAGGGGGGCCCGAGAGAGCCTGCACACCAACAAGCAGATCCCGGCCCTAGAACACTGGCCACGACTGAGGTTCCACCAAAGTGCTTAGGACGGCTGGGGGGATGTGACAGGCCTGGCAGGAAGTGGCACCCTGGGTGCTCACCTGGTGACATTCCTCCAGACCATTCTTCCCTCTCAGCCCTGTCACAGTTACAGCGAGGTTTGGTTTCCTGAAAAGCAGAACCACCCAAAGAAAACAACTAGTGCAACCCGACCCTCAGCACCCAAGTGCCCCAGGCAGAGGCAGAGCAAGGCCACTGGTGGGCCTGAGCGCGCTCCTTTTTGCCTGTACTCCTTCATTCGGTGCACATTTGGGCTCACTCTGGGGCTCTGGGGGTGACCCAGGGCCATGGAACCCAAGCGAGGTGAGGGAAGGGGTGGGGTACCTCAGACAGAAACGCCCAGTGAAGGTCAGGGAGCCTGAAGGGGAGGGGCCTCGCTGGGCTGGGGTGAGGCGGGGAGGCCGGGGGAGGAGGGGACCGCGTTCTATCCAAGGAGGAGGCGCTAGCCACCAACTGGGGTCTTCCCAGGGGAAGAAAAAGGTGGACAGAAGCCCAGAGCAGGAAAGAGTCCAGGATGCTGGGGCGTGGCTGGAGCTGGGGCGGCCCAGGGCCAAGGGAGGCAGGCGAGTGGGGTGGGAGAGCAGAGCAAGCAAACCCTGGGACAGTGGACTTCCGGTCAGCACAGTGGGGAGCTGGGAAGGGGTTCCAGGCGGAACAGCAAGAGCAGATCTCAGGAGACTGTCGGCTGCGAGATGAGGGTTTGGAGGGGATGAGCTGGCAGGGCGGCAGCCGGGGTCCTGTGGGAGAGCAGGGGGGGGTGAGGGGGGCTGGCCTGGCCTTCCGGGTGGTTCCCCGCTCTGTGAGGGGTCTGTTTGAACTTTGTTCTTTCAGGCTCTGTAAACTAGTTTGCTCCTCACCTGAACCCTTCCCAATTTTTAATCAATTTGTTTCAGTCGTTTATTAATCAATTAACCAATCATGTCTCCATTTTTAGTATGAGTGAAAAATGTTTTAACGAAAAACCCAACTACTTTCTTCGAAGTCAGCGGCTAACTGTGAGCTTTAATATGGACCTCAAAGTAATTTTTTAAAAATACATGGTTATGGAGAAGAGGTGGACGGTAAAGGGTAAAGGAAGGAGTAAACCACCCAGAACTGCAACTGCCCAGAGAGACGGCACAGCTAACATTGTGGATTTCTTTCCCTGAATATGAAGTGAGGACAAAACTATCTTTATTTAATAGAGATCAGTCTTACATACGCTCTGTACCCTAACTTTTTCCTTACACTGTATCATTTCCCCATGTGGTAAACACCATTTGAAATGACTAATCTTCCCCTGTATGGATGTAGAGTCATTTACTTAACCATCTCCCCACTGTTGGACTCTTGAGTTTGTTCTCCATATTTTGTTATTATAAACACTATAGTCATGAACACCTTTTCAGGCAAATGTATAAGTTTCAAATCACTCCATGGCCCGATTCCCAGGCATTGAATTCATCCATGTAATCAACACGCTTACGGAGCCCGTACTGGGGTGAAGACGTGTCTGGACCCTGGATTCCTGGGCCGGAGGATTCGCACAACTTGGGACACAATTCTGTATCGCTTTGCAGAAACGCTTTTAGTTTCCGATAATGGCATGTTCGCGACAGTTCCATCGTGGCCGGGCCAGCACTGCGTCTGTTCACTTTAAAAACCCTGGATTATAAAACTAAACTTGCAGGCTTGCTTCTCTTACCCTACGACCTAACAGAGCTTCCCAGGGCACTGGGTTCCAGGACTGTGGCTTGGAAAGGTGAGGGAGTCAGATCTCCGCTCGGGGGCCAGAGCAGCTGTGATCTTCTAGGACTGGGCAGCCTGCCCACTGGGCATGTCTCCGAGCAAGAGTTGTGTGTGTTGACAGAGGGTGTGTTTGAAAGTTGGGGAACCAAGGGCTGGACAGGCGACCCATGTGTTACCTAGTCAACACCCACTCTTACCCTCTCCCTTACCTCCAGACTCCCCCCCCCCCCCCCCCCGCACAGCCGCATTTCCCAGATGCCCTTGCAGCCCCGAATGACCCCCTCAGTGGCTTCTTCTCGTCTAAGCAGCTGCTGGAGGTGGAACAGCCCTCTGTGGGTGCCAGGAGGTAACAAGCACCCATGAAACGATGGTTGAGCAGATGGTCTGGTCGGGCGCAGGCTGGGCCTGGATAGCTTTCTGGAACTGCCCATGCCAGCCCTGGCCTGCCGACCTCCGGTGTCTTCTCATGTGAGGGAACAACTCTACCTTATTTAAGCCACCGTTTCGTAAATGTTACCAAATAGATAGGCAACATGTGTTCAAATGGAGCCAGCTCTTCCTAAAGCGCTTTCTTTGTCCTGCTGCTTATGTCCTGGAGGACGAGTAACCCTTGTAACATTTGGCACTTGGCCTGCTGGGTGTGGAGTGACCATGTCGCGGGGGTCCTGTGACTGCCTGGCTGGGTGGGATGCTGCCACCCGGTGTGGCATCATATCCAGTCCCTGGTGTGTAGGCTCCCCATCATGGGAAAATCTCAACAGAAGACGTAAATATTGACGTGTCATGAAATCACGTGGCTCTGTATCTACTGACGTGGGAGAGTGGGGCCAAAAGCAGAGGGATCTGCTGATCTCCCGGGAGAAGCGTCCGGAAGGTGTTCAAATCGCTGATCACACGGAGGTCTGGGTGGGCACTTTGAGTGGGTTTTTACCTGCTTTATACTTTTCTAATTTTGGGGGGGAAAGATATATATTTTGCATGAGAAAGTTAAATAATATCAATATAAATAGTATTCATAATAGCATCCTTCCATGGCTTATTTCCTAGCCACCCACTGAGTCCTCACCCCACGGCTGAGGCAGTGTGGCTGACTGCAAAGATACATCAGAAGCATCTGGAACTCCCGGGTCCACCCAACCCCCAGGCTGGGGAAACCACGGCCTCTCAGAGTTTCTTATAAACGACGAAACTGGACAAGACACGCCTTATCTTTTCCCTTGTGCCCTGAGAGCCGTGCGTGTGAGCCACGTCCCTCATCAGGGGGCTGCCTGGGGTCTCGCACAACCCCTTCCATAAGCAGTGAAGCCCCTCTTCTCTCGCGTTTAGCTTGCCTGGAACAAACCCAATTCTCGCGACAAGTGACCCCCGCCCCCCAGAAAACCCCCAACAAAAGCCTCCGTGGAAACGGTGCAGACATAGTTTCAGTTCTTTATTAGAAAGAGGCCTCTACACTCTGGGCACCTCTCTCCCATTACTTTACACATTTTTCTTTTTCTTCATTTTCCCCCTTAGAATACTGTACAGCTGACACACAAAAAATCCCCAGGCAGGGAAATACAAACTGGCATATTTAATCAAAACAAGATCATATGAAATAACAAGCAAAGTGAAATGTCTGTCAATGGTTTTAATTACAGTACAAACAATATAAATAAAGCATCATTGAGTCATTGTGAAACATAAACTTGCTGAATGAGGTAATATAAAAACAACCAAAAAACCAAAACAAAACAGAAAACCAACCCGTCTCTGATAACCCCAGGCTGCTGGTCCATCTTCTATACATCGCTATTTACAGAAAGAGAAAAGTGTGCTGTGAGGGGCCCAGGCCCGGCCTTCCCGGCTCCCTCCTGGAAATGAACGCCTCTTGGTCATCGCCCCTGCCTAGCTCCGGGGGCCCCTCTCGGAAACACTCCCTGCGGCTGGATGGGAACCCCATTCGGAGTCGTGGGCAGGACGGGGGCTGTCTGGGGCAGGAGGCCCTTCCCGGACGTCCTCGTGGCCAGCGGGGCGCAGCCGGCTCGTCCGCGGGTTCCCTCCGGGCTCAGCAGCGAGCCTCTGGTCACGTGCCCTGGACCCCCCCTGGACCCCCCGCCACACCCGCCCCCGCGCGCAGGCGCTCAGGCCCCCGCGGGCGCAGCAACCTCCAGAATTTGATACATTTTAGACGCAAACACCCAGGTGCGGGAGGAGGGAGACCGCGATGCTTTCCGAGGTCCGCAGAAAGCATCCTTTCCACGGTAGCGTCAGGACGTGCGAACGCCCACTGCACGGCCGCCACGGAGCGGCCCCACGCCTGTCAGGCCGCGTGTGCGCCGGCATCTGCCGTGGGGAGAAAGCTGCGGGGACCCCAGGGTGGGGCTGCGGGGCGCTGCGTGCTCGGTGCTCGCGTGGGCAGCGGCAGCTAAGGCCCCGGCCGTGGCCGATCCTCTGACCTCCCGCCCCGCAGGGCCCACGCAGGATGGCCGGTTCCCCCGAGGACTCCGCACAGGCCGGGCCGGGCCGGGCACGTCTTTGCAGGAGCTGCTCGCTCGGGAGCCTAGTCCTGGGGCTACACCGGGAGCGCAAGGTCCCCGACGTGCTCATTCAGCCCAACACGTCTGCACTTTTACGTAGCAGCCCCTCACCCGGCGGGCTTCCAGGGCTTGGGGTGAGGTCTCCACTCACAAGTTTTCCAGCCAGCTCAGTCCTTAGCTTCCCAGGCCTATGTGGACGCTGCCTGTCACTGGGAGATGAAGGCATAATCTGACTTGGGGGCCACTGTCCCGACATCTGGGGTATTAAGGGGCTTGTTCCATTGGAAGGTTTGCCAACAGTCGTTCCTTTCTTTCACCTGCCTGCCTCTCGGGACAAAGGTCATGCAGTCCCTTCCCACTGACACTGAAGTCTACTCAGTCCTAAAGGGCGTGTCACTCTCATATGGCTTGTCACCACCCTTGGAGTCCTTCTAGACAGATGCCAACATAAAAAATCAGCCCTGAGCTGGCATCTAGCACACGCACGAAAGCCTCACACACATCAAGTGGCTGCCAGCACGGTGTCACCTGGCTAGAAGCCGGAGCCTGTCTGTCCAAGTAACCAGGGGCGCTCACATCCGAACACCTGCAGCTTTCAGAGCCACAGCGGGCTCTGCGGGGCACGCTGCCCGACCCTGCCCACCTCCCAGCACCACAACCCTTCAGAAGGGCTGAGGGCCTCAGACAAGGGCCTTCTAGCCACCAGGTGAAGACCCAGAGCCAAACGCTGCCGCCTGACAGCAAAACCAGCCCCTCGCAACTGAAATGCGGCAAGGAGAGGTTGTCAAACTTACAGTCGCGGAACCCTTGCTTGGGGAGGGTGTTTGCCACACCGGGGAAACGGAAATACTTCTAGAACCTGGGAGTTTTTACAGTCACAGATTAAAAACAGACTTTTTGGTTTTACAGACTCTCCTACTGATGAGATGTTCTCTAATTTCAACTTGGACCCAAACTGAAAAACCCAAACTGGAAAAAAAAAGCAGCAGACTTCCAAAACTAAACAGGGAATCCGTGGATATTGTTTAGGGAATCTATTTAAGAACAGCATGTCTTCTCTAAGGGGCAGGATATCTGTGTTTCTGAAGTATTAACGCCGAAGTCGTTCCCTGGTCCTTCTTCCTCGTGAGGTGAGAGGTAAGGGGCCCGACAGGGGCGTCCCGACCCTGAGTGGCGCTGTTTCTCTCTAATCACGGATGTTGTGGCATCTGGGCTTCCAGGCAGTGATGGAAGGAGAAGTCTGAGGGCTGCGTGCATTCACCCCAAGTGGCTAACCCGCCCCTTCTCTCTCCTGCATAACGGGAAAGCAACTGACTGAAAGGCCGCCCCACTTAGATGCCTGAGTGACAAAGGACGCACGGGTGGGGCAGGGCAGACCCCGCCCCTCAGCAGGCCTGGTGGGGAGTGACCCCTGCCCACGCAGCAGCACACCTGGGGACCCTGGCCTGGCCGCACAGGGGTGAGGCCCACACCAGGACCCACTGACCACTGGGCTTCCTGAAGAAAGCCACCTGGGAATGTAAAAAAACACGTCCACAACGGCTAAGAGGGAAAAACGCACGTCTTGATGCCTAAGGCCCTTATTTAACTCCTGGGTGAAGTACAAGGGTAAAACTCACTCGGAGACGGGGCTTTACAGCGTGTGAAACCCACGTGCGAGGAGGCGGTCAGAAATAAATTCTGTTTCCTGGGAAAGAAAGATGTGTATCTTCAGCACATTTCTATTTGGATTCTTTCTTGACTGCTTTTCAATTTGTTTGCTTGAAGGACATAAATACCCTCCAGGGGAGTTCTAGAACAGTTGTGCTGACCTTGTGGGTTTGTGGGGGAAGGGAGGCAGCCCACCAGGGTAACAGATCTGCTTTCCAATTATCTTCGCCTTTTCAGAAGTTTTTGAGACTCTTCTTACTCACTCTTAGAGGATCTATATTGTTGCAAGGTTTCAGAACCTCCCTAGGTAGAAATATGGATTTCCCCGTCATTTCCAGAACATTTTAAATGCAAGGAGGAAGGGTTGGCAGAGTTGGAGCCACGGGGAACCCAAGTCACCCATGAGCACTGCTCAGGTGGGGGCTTGGGCAGGACCTGACGGTCAGTCTCGAGGGGGAAGATGTGATCACCAAGTGCAGGCACAAGACAACTTCAAGGTCCCCTGGAAGGGAAGACAGCTAGCTCCAGCGAGTGGATGCTCACCGTCTAACCGTGTAACTGATGAGGGAGAGAAAAAGGCAGAGAGACGGGCAGGAGAGCCTAGAGACACATTCTGCCACCCAGGGTCCTTCCAGCAAGCTCTGACTTTTAAAGGAAGTGGGCAGAAACCATGGAAACGAGGACCAATACTTGTGTCACTGCAGCCTCTCGGTGCCTGGAGGTGGCATCTGAATGGGGGCAGGCCTGTCTGCGCCAACACAACCCGCTGTAGGAGAGACAAGTGGTCATCTTGGGCCTAAGGCAACCTGAGTGAATGGCATGAGGCGAGACCCAACCCTTTCTCTGCCTCTGGAGAATCAATCTCCGATGAAAAAGATGGAGGGGAAGTTTTGGTTAAATGGAGCTGACGAGATGGTAATTGGGCAGTTTGGGCTTATCCCTTTTAGGAGGGGCTCTGGGGGTAGGGGCCCTCAGAGCACCAACAGGCTAAGCAGAGGAGGAGCAGGGGCTCAAATGGAGGGGGGCTGGCACAGAGGCCATCGCCGACTCCCCAGCGCACGGGCTGGAGGGCGTGCTGCCAGCGCAGGGCCAGCTTCTCAGGCACGTGGTCTGGATCTGGTCCTGTCCATGTTCCTGTTCTGAGCAATCACGCCCACTTCTGGAGCTCCTAGCTCCTGGCAGGGCATTGGGCTGGCACTGATGACACTGCTCTGAAATATCACCCTAGTGTCACAGGTAAGGAAAGAGTCCGAGAAGCTGGATGCTTGCCCAAGGCTGCACAGGTGGGACAACAAAGCCAGGTGACCCTGGTCTGTGTGGCCCCTGGGCTGGCTTTCTTGTTAGACGTGTTTTGCCCTAATGAAGTCAGTGACAGCTCCTTCGCCAATGTGGAGGATGTGCAGGTCTCTCCAAACTGCGAAGGACCGGTGCCTACGCTGGGCGGTAGAGTCTGGGTCTAGGCAGACCTCCTCAGGCTGGACGGCACCTCAGAGGAGGGGGCGGAAGGAACCCCGAGGCCCTGCACTGGTGCTGGGACGGCCACCGTCCGGACTCACGGCCCTGCAGAGAAGGTGCCACTTCAGGGGTTTCAGCCCCGAGTCAGGCAGTAAGAGGTGCCCTCTCCGGCACCTGCGAGCCCTGTGATCAGCAAGCACCCTGCTGCCTGCACTTGCTTTCTAGGGTAACTACACTTGGTGTGTGCTTACGGGAAGGTAGGACACTGCGCCTGCTTGTGGGACCCAAGACTCAAGACTAGGTCACTTGCTCACCCTCGAGTGGCTCATCTCCTGGGACAGGAGACGGAAGGGACCAGGGGCCACCCCCGGGGCCGTGGGCTTGGTAAGCCCTCTGTCCCCCCCAGTACTCAAGGCCCGATCATGTGGGGTCAGAATCAAGACTCCTTTCTCCTCAGGGTTTTCTTGGCCACAGAAGGAACCCAGCGAGGTCACAATATGTCCAGGTCACCAAGGGAACAGCCTCTACCCTCCTGCCTGTTCATCACGTGCCTTCCCCAATGGGTGGTTTCTCCTCCAAGGGCAGATGCTAATTCTGAACAGAAAGGGTAAGTGGGTTCTGCAGTGGTGGCTTCTCATGTCGCTGTCACATCATAGAACTTACACGGAAAGAAACAACGAGAACTCGACCCCTTTCGCAAACTGGTGATTTCTAACCCTGGCCCTGTGTCCTCGCTTCTCCAGCCTCCGTGTTAGTAAAGCCTTAAGATGAGAGAGAAGGGCTTCTAGTCTGACACCGAGATACAAACGGACTAGCTGCCAGTCACCTTTACTTGAAAAGAAAAGCCCTGAAACCCACCACCGCCTCTCCTCTGGTGCCCAAACCCAAGGAAGCAGGCTGCCCGCTGGGGCCGGTCAGCGCTAAGAGAAGGGTCGAGTTTTCTAAGGAGGAGTCAGCGAAGTCCCTGGGCTGGAGGGAGGGGGAAAAAATATCTAGCATCCAGGCCATGAAAGGCTACGTGAAAAAAGAAGCCATTTGGGAAAATACTATATTATAAACACATACAATCATATGTACACACTCATATACATCCCAAAGAGAAGCCTCACAAGGAAGTTAGCTTCTTTTCAAAAGAAGGCTCCGCTATGGTAAAGCATTCCTATAGTGGGAATTCACTACAATGAAATAACTTAAGAATTTCATTTCTACTGCCTCTGTGCTCCCCACATCGAGTCTGTGTGGAGCGATGCGTCTAGCTGGCTTAGAACAGTAATGCTTCTTCAAAAATAGGCACTGACGTTTTTACCCCCTATTCACATTTAAAATAACTACACAGTGATGACACACAGAATAAAAAACCGGGTGGAGGGTTACGGACCTGTTGTCAAGGTTCTCCAGCTGCGGCTTCCGTCCCTGTGACTCCTGGGAGCCACCAAGTGCCACTGAGCTGAATGAAGGTTAGAAATGTCCATGAAACACTGACCTACATCTAAATCCTGTGAAAAGCTTTATTTTTTCCCACCTACTTTTTTTTAATTATTATTATTATTTTATTTTTTAGTGAAAGGGAAAGAAGAGGAAAAATTCTTACAAAACAGAAGGTTTAATATACGAGAGCCAGGAACTCCCGGAAGCTGCCGGGAGAATGTGGCCCTGTGCTCCTGTGCTCCATTAGCCCAGCACTGTGCTTCCCTGTGACAACCCCTGCCCCCGCCACTCTGCCAAAGGACTCTAGGCACAGCCACCCCCTTTCCTTTTGAGCCTGCGGTGTCTTGATTCGGTTTAATATGTTGGCCACCACGCTGGGGGTGGCTGAATGAAGTGGGCTAATACCATGACGATGGCAAATCAGGTGACATACTAAAATGGAGAGCCTGGCCACCAAGGAAGTCTTAGGGATTCTCCTGGGACAGTCTGGGCCACAGAACCGCCGGCGGCAGTCGCCATCTACCTTGGCCAAGCGGCCAGGTCCAGTACTCGGGAAATGACGCCTGGCCTCGCCGGAGCCTGGTCCTCCCTCGCCCAAAGCGGTGTCAGGTCTAAGCCATACTCTCAATGGCCAGAAACCACACGCCTCTTTCCCCCGCTAACATGCTGCAGTGTCTTCTTTCTTTCTTTCTTGATATTAATAAGCAAATTGTACCACCATCGTATTCTGATGTGCTCCTTTTTAAAAGCTGTATATCACATTAATGGGAGTGTTTACCGCTGTGAATATTTTCCATGTACACTGATCTGTAACCCTCTTATCTCAACTAGCTGTACATTATTAGTTCACATCCAGTTCAATTTATAAATTAACAGAGGTGCCATTTGTCTGTACAAAAATCAATGCATATTTATGCTTCTTTTATTCAAATAGATTTCCACACATCTACACACATGATACAGAAGCCTGTGTGTGTGACTCGGGCAACGCGGCCCCGGAGTGCCTGACACCCAACACGTCCGCCTGGGCAGAAGGACACAAAACATCTCTCACGTTCGGGGGACGGGGGGGAACACAGCCTTTTAGGCATTTACTTAGGTTACTAAATGCACTCGAAATGGTATTGTTAGTTGAATTCGTGATCTCCTTTCGAATTTCTGAGTTGTTATTTATTTTTTCCCTCTTTGTTTTTGCAAAGGAGACTGCAGTCAAATAAGACTCAGCAACGGATTTCCTCTCTTTGGACTGAAAAATTAAACAGATACTAAATTATGACAGTGAATTTAGAAAGGAGGCTCCGAGGGCCTGGGAGAGCATGTCTGGGATGATACGATGCTTCTCCGAGTATTGCAATCACATTGTGGCAATCACCGGAGCGTGCCGCGTGACTACCTCCACAGCTAATATGCTTTCTTCCCGGTGATGACTAATCATGTTCTATTAAACAGCGGTAATGCTGGAAGAACTCAACTATACAAGTGTAATGAAGCCAGTATTCTCCCTGGACAGATTAGCTCCAACTGATTTGACACATACCATCATAGGGGCTTCAAACCTGACAAACTCTGCTTGCTTCTGATTTATGCCGTCAAGCTCCTCGGAGAAGAGACGGAATCCAAGCGTTGCGTTTGGTAGAGGTGAAATGTACTGATGTGCTTAACTGCCAGCTAAGGAGAGTTTCCCCTCTCCTCACGCCTGCCTCCCCTCCCCCGCTCGTCCCCGTGCCTTGTCCCTTGTCCCTTGTCCCTTGTGCCATGCTCTGTCTACAGGCCACCAGGACCTGGGTCCCGAGCCGCCGTGTGCTATCGTCAACCAACCAAGGCCCGTCGGGCGCTCCTATTTGTCGATTCGGGGAGTTTATGGAAAAAAACAAACAAACCGATCTTGCAGTCGGCTGGCCTCCTCTTCGGCCCTTGAGGACTGTCCAGGTTTTGTGATTCCGCTGGGTGGAGGGAGGGAGGGTGGGTGGCAGGTGGAGTGGCAGGTGACCGCCAGGGGAGAGTGAGGGGACGTGGCGGGACTCACGTGTCGTCACTTCCGAGAGAGGATGCTGGCGGCTGGGTCGCCCGGGGTGTCGGGCCGGAGGGCGCAGATGCCCCTCAGATGATGGTGGGCACCCTCCCGCTGCTGTTGTTCCGGTTATTGTTCTTCCGCGACAGGTTGGGGGTGGCCATGAGCACGAAGCGCTCGTCGGGGCAGCCGTACTGCAGCAGCACGTCGATGCACTCCTGGCTGGCGGCCTGTCGGGCGTAGGCCAGCGCCGTGTTCCCGTGGGCATCGCGGGCCATGACGTCCACGCCGTACTGCCGAGGCAACACAGACACGTTAGCGACACCGTGACGGGGGAGGGACACTGCTGCGGGGGACCCACTGCAGCTGGACTGGGTGGGGACTAAGTGTCCAGCGTCCGTGCCACAAGCTGGCCCTGCGCTGCGTTCTTCTAAGGAAAGAATGTGCTTTCTGCAGCTGACAGGCCCTCCTTTGTGCGACAGAAACGGACCAAGAACTCTGGTCTCGCTATTTCTATTTTGACCTTCCAATTGTAAATACAAAAAAACGATCACTTCTTTTGATCTCAGAGGCGATTCATTGTCATTGTAGGAAGTACACAGCTCAGACATCGGGGCACAAGACACATCCAATAATCTCGCTGTTCACAGCTAATCTTGGTTCACAGTGCAGTGTCCTTCCCTCTAGTCTAAATGCAGAAGTGCATAATTGAGGAATGTACACAATTTCATGGACATAATCCGGGGACTCTGTCCTCCATTGCTACACATTTTGTTTAAAACTGTCACTGGTACAGGGCCAGCTGAGTGGCTCAGCTGGTTAAGAGCTCGCTTGGGACTCCAGTTCTAAGCAGCAGGACTGCCGTTCGGATCCCACATATGAGGGCCAGTGACACTGCCCTCTACAGATAAGATGCTGAACAACAGCTCAACCTGGAGCTGGGCTGCCGTGAGTCGCGGGCGACGGTGGCGTAGGCTGCAGCCCCTGTGGCAGTGGGTTGCCATGTGCTACTGTGTGTAGCCAGCAGCCAGCGTGAGCAGCTGGTAGCCGGTGTGAGCTACTGGGAGCCGCTGTGAGCGGCCGACCAGTGACCGGCGACCGACTGCCTCACCCGGGAAGAGCGCAATGATCACAATACCAACATGGGCCAGTGAAGCAACGACCTCCACAACTAGACTGAAGAACAAAAACAGCAATTTGTCTACCTGTCTGTTCCTCTCCCCGCAATTCCCCAATAAAATCTTAAAAAAATAAAAATCTGTCACTGGTACAAACAGTGCTGTGACATGCACCCCCACATCGAATCTTTCTCAGGATCTCTGATTATTAAGGGAGGAGGAGAAGGGAGCATTCTGGGTTAAATCGCACGCGCTCTTTTGAGCTTCTTGCTCTTGAAAAAGGGTGGACTGGCCTCCACTCCCACCACAGTGTTTGGGAATCTTGTCAGCATGGGGCGTGGCAATCGAAGGAACTTTTAGCCAATGTGGGGGGGAAAGTTAGCATAAGACAGTTATGGAGCTAACTGTGTCCCCCCAAATCCATATACTGGAGTCCTCACCCTCAATACTTTAGAATATGATGACTGTATTTGGAGGTGGGGCCTTCAGAGAGGCAATTAAGGTGAAATGAGGCCATATGGGTGGGGCCCCGATCCAACAGGACTGGTGTCCTTCTAAGAGGAAGGGCCCCCAGGGAGGCACACACAGAGGAAAGGACACGTGAGGACACAGGGAGAAGACGGCCGTCAGCGACCTAAGCAGAGAGGCCTCAGGAGAGGGTGACCTGGCCCTCACCTTGCTCTCAGACTTCCGGCTCCCCAACTGTGAGAAAACAAATGCTTGTTGTGAAGTCCTCCAGTCTGTGGAGCCCTGTTAGGGCAGCCTCAGCTGATGAACACACAGTTGTTAAGTGAAGCTGAATATTTGAGTGTTTCTGATATCTGGGCGTGTAAATCTCCCGTGTGCCTATCACAATATGTAGTAAGTGGCATGGCGCTCAGCTGTGTGGGGCAGCCCCATCTCCTGCCCTGGGGTGGGGGCAGCAGGCACCAGTAGGGTAACCCACTTCTGGGCAGTGTCCCAGGACTGGGGAGCACCCTCCCCTGCACTCAGGCACCCTCTTGGCGGGCAGCTTTCTGCTCCCCTTCAAACAGGAACCCGCTGTGGCAGAAGACCCCAAAGGTGTGCCTGAAGCCACCATACGGGGGGCGGTGCTTCTCAGAAGCCGCTCCCACCGGCTCGGACGGCGCCTCTTCTCACGGTCACGGTTGCCTTTTTTGCTCCCATTCAAGCTTCATGAAACATGCTCCCATAGGAATGAAAAACATAACTTTCCCCAGTAGATATTCATCAGAACAGGCAGACGAAGCCCTGTGACACTCCTGGCACATCGAATCTCAAAGTTTAGGATCTAGTACTTTAGTGTTATGTGAATGAAAAACCCCAAGGTTTGGAAAACTGCATAAACCATTGAGTGTTTAATTCCTTTATCATCCTACTACCCCACAAAAAAAAGATGGTGGGAGGTTTTTATTTTTTTTGTAGGACAAACAAGAGAACACCACCAACGTGTTTGACCCAAAGGGGCGACCAGAAAGATGAGCTTTGCAGAAACTCGAGCCAACGCCGTATGAGGACCCGTCCCCATACGAGGAGGGCACGTCCCACAGACCTCCCTCCTCCGTTTCATCGGTCCTTCACGCAGGGCCCTCCCACAGGTGAGCCCGAAACCCCAAACTCCCCACTCCTAGTGCTTCCCGCCTTCAGGCTGGTCCCCACAGCCCCCTCAGTGACCCGGTTCCCTGCCGGGCCCGCGGGCGACCTACCCAGATGAGGAGCTGTGCCAGGACCACGTTCCCCTTCCGGCAGGCCAGGTGCAGCGCCGTGCGGCCGTCCACCTCCCCGCATGTCTCGTTCACCTCGTCCCGGGAGCCGTGCGCCAGCAGCAGGATGACCGCCCGCAGGTCCTCGTCGGCGGTGGCCCGCAGCAGATGCTGGCCCAGGGACAGCTCGGTGCACGGCAGCGGGGCCAGGAAGAGCTTCTGCTCGTACTTGGCCCGGATCCAGCGTTCCTTCTCTTCCCTGCAAGAGCCATCAGACAGGCGCGGTCACGGTCAGGCAGGACAGCCGAGGCTGCAGCCCCTGTGCTCCACCACTCGTGTGGCTGGGGGCATCGAGGAGCAAGTGGACTAACGGGGGGCAAGTGTCTTCACCAGGGCAGGGAAGCCGCTGGGGACAGGTTCACCTGTGGTTCGCAAAGCGGGGTCCCCACCAGCAGCAGCAACAGCACCTGGCAACCTGTTAGAAATGCAGGTTCTCAGGCCCCTGAATCAGAGCCACTGGGGTGTTTTAACAAATCCTGCAGGGGATTCTGACGCCCTGAGGTGTGAGAGCCACTTGGGAAGCCCACGGCCTTGACCTCTCGCTGGGTGTCTTTGGCTTTCAGTGCCGAGCTGCGTCCAGGAAGACCCGCTGCTGCCGGGACCCATCTGGCACCATGCAGGACGCACGCCATGGGCCCCGAGGTCCATCCTGCAACTGTTAGTAGGGACTGAAGCCGCTCGCCTGGAGTCGGGCAGGACAGTGGTGGGCCATCCCACCTGGGTGTAGCCTGCTCTTAGCTTTCGGCCCATCCACCGGGGATGGGGTGTGCGAACTCCCCGGGTCTCTCAACACTTACCGTTGAAGAAAATATTGCTATAGACCCACATATGAAAGGGCAGAGACTCGGACGGGGAGGTTTAGAAAAGAGACAGAAGCTATACACTTAGTTACCCTGTGCACCTGTGTGATCTCTCCGGATACCTGGGGAAGGCTTACGTGGAATGTCACGAATTCCTCAAATGACAAAAATGGCTGGGTTTTCTGAGGGAAAGTGTGCAGGGCCCAGGCTAGGGGACAAGGCAGGTGGCCCTGAGAACAGAGCTGAGCTAGGGGTGCAGAGGAGAGGGTGAAGCTGAGGGTGGGAGGGGGGGCCTTGGGGTTGTAGAGCGAGATGATGACATCTGGTGCCCCTCCCCCAACAGCACAGCCCGCTGAGCATGATGAGCTGGGTGGGTGTGATGACAGGCGACCCCCACAACCCCTGGGGCTCCAGAGGGGAGAGGACACTGTCTCTGACATCTGGAAGGAGGACTGGGGAAAAGGCGGCGGCAGGATGAAAAGAAGAGAGAGCTAAAGAAAGCGAAGGAAACTAACAGCAAGGTGTGTTTACACTGACCGGAAGGACCAGACCCGGGGCCACGGACTCCTACACTCTGTGGCTACTAATGGTGGATTTGGGTTTTGGTTTCTCAAAAAAGGGGGTAAGGGACGTTGAAAACAACTCAGCAATGCTCAGAATTGGCAGCATTGCTAGGAGAAAGGAGAGCGCAAGAGAGTGTAAGAGACTGAAGCTCGTAGCTGACATGGGAGGGGCAGGAGGATGGGGGGGGGGGTGTCGGATCGCCGGACAGATGCTTTCTGATGAGGGTGATGAGGGAAGAAAGAAAAGCCCTACAGATAAGGAGTGACTGTAATTACCCACAGAGACTTAAATAACACACTGATTCACAATCGCGCTCTCTGAAAATCCAGCATTTTCTCCAGGAGAATAATCAGGGTACATAGCTACCAAGGACACAGAGAAATCACTTAGGGCCGCCCTGATACTCGAGAAAGAAAACTCATTATCCGTGACATTTTTTCTTCCGAAGAACAGAAAAACGGCCTTGTTTACACCTTTTACCCATGTGTTGACACTGCGCCTAGTGACCTAGTGTCAGGTGAGCCCTAATCTGTTTTTAAATACTTAGGCAAACAAATTCTTCCAGGAGTAAATCGGGATTAGTTTTGCTTCACTTCCTGGTACATGCGAGTGACCCCAGAGTGACCCCCGACCTTTTCATGCGGAGATTTCCAGGCTGAACACTTGGCTGCGGCAGAGGCCACCCCAGCACCTGCAGACGTGGCTGCGCGACCGCAGCAACGCCGGACACAGGCAGGCGACACTGTCCCCACTCGGGCCAAAAGAGCAGTGGCAGGGCCCCTGCGATGTCTCAGCAACACCAGGTAGGACGAAAGACAGAAAACCCCCAAACAAACCATGTGTTCTTGTTCTTTCAAAACCTTATTTAAAATGTATGAAACAGATGTTGGCGCATTTCATAAATCACCAAAGAGAAAGAGCAAAACGTGAATTAAGTGGAAACGGACAGTGTGAAGGGCACGTCCAGGGCTTCAAGTTCCGATTTGCTAACTCTAATTTTTTGGTCGGCATTAAAATCAGAACGGTTTCATTCTGCTCCGGTTGATTTTAATCCTCATGGCCAAATCACCCAGGGATGAACCGGAGGGCTGCACCAGAGACCTAGCCGCAACGATTCAATTTTCTTTTTAATGTTCAAATACCCCAAAGAATGAATCCAGTCCTGTGGTCAGATGTTCTCACGGGGACGTGCAGGGTGGCTGTGTCCTCGGAGCTGGTCACCCCACAAGCAAGCTCCCCTGAATTCCCTAACTCACCATGCGTTTGCGTGATTACCCCGTTTAAACGGTTCTTTGCTCTTAAAAACCAGTTTTTAGAGGTGGGCCCAGGTTTGGTGGGGCTGAAAAGGCCTGCTCTTTGGGGAGCATTCTTTGGGAGACAGACTACATCACATGTGTGAGCTCAGGGACAGGGTCTCGGGGAGCATCCGGCAGCTTCCTGGCTGATCCGCCTGTGACCTGCAGCACTGGGGGCAGGGTGACTGCTACTGACAAGGGCTTTAGCAACTCCGACAACTCAGGGACACAAGACAGACCTGATACTAAGCTCGTGTGAACAATGCTGCAAGGAGACAAAACGGGTACAGGGCCTCCAGTTGGCCTCTCGGTGGGGTCCACATGGCCCCTCGCTCCCACTAGAACACCCCCAGATCTGTTCCATGCCTGCCTTCCATTACTTGACGGAACCTTAGCTCTTCACCAACATTGCTCGTGCTGTTTAAAAACAAACTTTCAAGCCTGCACTCTGGGTCCTGCAGGACTGCGGTGTTTTGGCGTTTCCTCTGAGCCCAGGAGGTGGCCAGAAAGCTAACGGTGGCAGGTGTCTGTGTCTGTGTCAGGTGTGCTTCTTGTAGCAGCTGAAACCCAGCCAGCAGACCTGGACATGAACACGGGTGTGTGGGGTGCTAATTCAGCAACCCCCATCCACGCAGGGCCACTTACTGTGCTTGTTGTCCAGCCTGACAGACTAGGAGAAAGCTGAGTCCCACGAGCTCTCTGCAGCGGCTGTGGTTCTCAGCATCAGGGACATTGGGGTTTGTGTGTCTGCTTCGTTCTCGGTGGTGCAGACTTCTGCACCTTCAGTGATGCCTTGGACCCTCCTTTCCTCCTCTGCAAAATGGGCACAGTGATGTCTGCAGAAGGCAAGCTGGTGTGCGGATGTAAGGTCACGTGTTTGGATAATGTGCTGCTGCTGTTTTATGATTGAAGAGAGTAATATCTCCAATGAGTCACACTGCTATCAAGAACACAGGGGGTGGTGTGTGTGACAAGAAGGTGCTGGTGGCACGGGGAGTGGGGGTGGGGCAAAACACTGCTGGCTGCTTTAGGCTGCTCCATCCCGGCTGTCTGTGGCCGTGCGCTTCATATGGTCACCGTGCTCGGCCAGGGACCTTGACAAACCCGTCAGTGTCTTGTGCGCCACTCTCAGCCTCCAGGGTGCAGGGGGGCCTGAGACACTGGGGCAAAGGGGACTCAGTTGGTTTAAGTAACCCCACGACTTCCAGGGTCTCTGGGGCCAAGTCTGGCCAGCCCCTGTCTACAGCCTTGAGATGTCTAAAGCCTACCTGGATATTTGGACTGAATTGTGTCCCCGCAAACTCTTATGTCGACGCCCTAAGCTCCAATGTGGCTGTGTTGGGAGGTAGATCGTGTAGGCGGAAATCAAGGTTGAATCAAGTCTTAAGGGAGCTTTATGGGAGGAAGAGGCACCAGAGACCTCTCTTTCTCTCTTTCTCTCTCTCTATCCACACAGAGGAAAGACTATGTGAGGACATGGCGAGTAGGTGCCATCTGCAAGCCAGGAAGAGGCCTCCCCAGAAACCAGCCCTGCCGACACCTTGACCTTGCCCCTTCTGTCCTCCAGGACTGTGAGGAAGTGTCTGTTATTTAAGCCCCCAGTTCTCTGTCCTTCTCATTTGGTTTCTGAGCCAACAGTTAACACGTGAAAGGTGCACACTCTGACAACGATCCCTTTTCCTGCCAAAACCCACATATTCTGTCTAAAACCATCTGCCCCAGGACACCAGGATGCCACAGCACAAACCTCTCATCGTTACTCTGAGGTCCCAATCTCACTTCTGGGTCCCGCCTTGCATTGGCTGAGCTTTCATTTTCCCCAAGGAAGGCCAGTTCAAGAGCAGTGTAGCTGGCAGTAGATCACCTCACCTCATTGTAATCCCCTGGAGGGCCGCTGCTCACAGCCTATGTTAGCTAATGAGCTAAAAAATGAATTATTGGCCCGGCCGGCCGTCAGCAGAAAGGAGGAGGCCCGGCCCCTCATTTGAGCCCCTTGCTGACACACCTTTAAATAAATCAGCCGAACGGGAGTGAGAGAAAATGAGAGAACGGGCAACTAATCAGAAGACACTGCCCTGATCCCCCAAAAGAGGGTGCAGTTGAAGACAGTAGTAAACATTTTCTTCTCTTCCTGCCCAAAATGACACCCCTTTTGTAGATGGCCCTCATCTGCCGCCCCCACCCCAGATCAGAGGACAAAGGCGGCCAGAGTCGCGGGAGCTGTGTGTCCGCGGAGGCTTTGGGAGTCTGCTGGGCTCGGACGGCACTCTGGCCCTGCGGCCCGACAGACCAGGCTTTGCCACACTTGACCTTGAGGGGTGTTGACATGGCCAAAGCTCTGTGTCCTCCAAAGATGATCCCAGGGAGACGTCCCACCTGCAACCTGCAGTTTTAGTGCCTGCCCCACGGGGTTCACCGTCAGCCCCAGGAGATACTGCGCGGTCCAGCCGGTGAGGTGGTCTCCACGCCATGAGAGCACTTCCTGTGATGATGCTGACGGTGACAGTAACTGACAATGTCTGGTGACCCTGGGCTCTTCC